GTGCTTTTCCTAAATGCCTGGGCAGCCTCATCATCTTGATTCTTGCTCAGATTTCATGAAAACTGGTGGCACCATGGCCCAAATTACTGCAGAAGTTACAAGAGGATGGAAAATTTTTCTTAAATTCCTGAATTAACACCTTGCTGACAGGCTATTTCGAGCCAGAACTTGCCTGTGCGGCCAGCTACTTTTCTGTTGTGACTAGTCAGCAAGGTGTTTAAAAAAAGAGTTTGTTCAACATTTCCAGGGCTGCTGTAACCGACCAGTGTGAGTTGGCTGTGGACATAGGTCCAGGCTATGGACACAGGCCCAGAGCCTTTGCCTGATTATATTCCAGGTAGCTATCCCTTTAGAAGCTTGCGATCATGAATCGCCAGGTGAGGAGGAGTCTTGGAAGAGTTAAAGCAGCCCCGAGCAGATCCGGGCACCATGGTCATGCTTACCAATTTCTATTCTGGGCAAGGGATGCCGTCACTTTAAATGCTGTGCCCTGGTTGCTAAGGAAACCAGATAAGTGGGTTGCCAACACAATCTTCAGTCTTTCTATGAAGATTAAAGCACCTTGCTCCAGCTAGTGAGCGGATGGGAAAGTCCTAGGTGCGAGCCACATTTCTCATTCCCGGGGGAGGGTTGGCCAGGTAAAGGGTGAAGTGGCACGATTTCGGGTTGTTGGGGAAAAGATCAAATTTGTAGCTACTGGCCATTTATCGAATCACAAGTATTTGCTAAATCCATCAAGACGGGGGTTGAAGACTGACTTCTAGCTTTGTTTCTGCCACGAACTTTCTTTGTCAAGGTAGTGGAGTTATACCTAGTGCAAACTTTGGGGAGTCAGCTTTGGAACAGAGCAGTGCTTTCCAATCTTTTTCATGGCATGGCACACGTAAACAAATGACTAAAATTCTGCGGCACCCCAAAAAAATATACTTTTAGCTGATTGGACAAGAAACAGGTATACTTTTAATTCATTCACACCAGACGGCTATTGCTGTGTTGGCTGTTGCCACTTTTTATTTGACAATCTAAGGGAAAGGAGGTCAGTGCCCCTGACTACATAGGAAGTTAGGGGAGAGAACAGGTTTGGGGGTAACTGTAAACGGGGAAGGAAGAGCAGGACTGGGGCATCAAGTGATGAGGGTGTTACAATTTTGGATAGGGTAGTCCCTGACTCCCAGAGGCCTCACTATGAAGATGCAAGTGAGCAAAGACCCAAAGGAGGTGCAGGAGGGGGTGAATGAACTTTCCAGCAGAGGGAACAGACACGGCGAGGGCTTTGAGGCGGCAGCATACTCGGCATGCTCCAGACCTAGCAAGGAGGGCAGCAAGGGAGCAAGGCTGGGGGAGAGGTGTGGTGGAAGGTGAGGTCAGAGGAGTAACTGAGTGAGTGCACACGCATTGAACCACTGTGGATAAGAAAGGCGGCTTCTTCTCTGGGTGAGATGGGAACCATGGCAGCGTTCAGCACAGAGGAGTGGGATGATCTGCTTAGATTTTTAACAGGATCATTATGGCTGCTGTGTTGAGAACAAAGCGTAGGACAAGAGTGAGCGAAAGCATTATGACCAGGGGAGATGATTGCAACAATCCAGGTGAGAGAGAGTGAAGAGAGGAAGGAGGGACAAGTCATTGGATTCTGAATATATTTTTCTGTGAAATTAACAGAATTTCCTGACAGATTGGATGTATGAGAAAGAGGTCAAGGATGATCTCAAGGCCAGTTGGTTCTGCACACCTGATACAGGCGTGATGGTGGTGGTGGCTGTTAGAGCTGCTGAAAGGCTTCCATATCCACAGCCCTGCCTGGAGGAAGTACCCTGATCCAGCTTGTGTCCCAGCTGTAGACATCCCCACTATGGTCCTAGGGCCATTCTATATGCCCCAACTACTCATGCTGACACAAAGCAAGCTCTTGGCACGTCACCACGAAGGTAGCAAGTTCTTCATGCATTTATGGTGAACCCTTCTCTTCACAAAGCCCTAAGAACATTTGTGTTTGAAGGAACTTTAAAGATCATCTACATAAACTCTGTTGGTTGTCAAAAGCAGACAAGCTCACCATAATTGAGAAAAAAGTGTTGATTAAAGGCCTAAGAACAGGCTAAAAACTCAAAGCCGTCAGAATAGAGGGCAGCTCCTTGCTCTGTTCTCATGGCTTCTCTACTGTCTCAGCACACTTATTCCACTCACTTTCTGTGGCCTCCAGTTCAAATTTTTGAGGGAACTAGAGTGACTGGCATAATAACCATGGCCCATTCTGGGCACCAACCCACTTTGCGGGTGCTGGTGGTCTTGCCTGTGGTGGCCTTCGCAGAGTACCCAGCCGTGGTTCAACTCATAACCTTGACCAAAGAATGGCCTGTTTCCCCAAGGAGGATCCTAGTTTCAGGGTCCTGTAATGGACTCTACCAGTACATCCCGCATTGACAAAGGAGAAACTGAGAATCAAGGGACTCGCCTGATGTTCCAGAGCGTGTAGTGAACGAAGAAACAGGAACCCAAGCCTCCCAAGTGCCTGCACTACCCAAGCACCAGTACTTGCTTCCGATGGTGCTCCTCCCATGTGACAGATGCATCATCCCTAGAAATAAAAGAACTGGGAGCAAACCATATGAGAATGAAGTGCTGTTGGACACCATCTCAATTTTAGAGGTTGGCAAACTTTCTGTAAAGGGCCTATCTTAGCAAATATTTCAGGCTTTGTGGGCCATATGGTCGCTGCCACAACTACTCAACTGTCACTGCAGCAGGAAAGCAGCCACAAACAATATGTAAATGAAGGGGAGTGACTGTGTTCCAGCAAAACTTTATTTACAAAAGGAGGCTGCTGGCCCATTTAGCACACAGGCTGTAGTTTGCTGATCCCTTTCAAAGATTATGAAACAGTTTAAATGGTGTATCTTAAATATTGAAGAGCAAAACTTAAAAGAAATAGTTGCACCTTTTTCTTGGCCATCACTGTGTTTGGATATTTGTAAAGCAGCAACCTAGGTTCTTTCTTACCTTCCTAACTAGAAACATTACAATACTTGTCAGAAACTCACCATTTACCTTACAACATTGGTTTTAGGAAAGGGAAAGCAAGGAAAACGAACAATGATGGGGAGACAGTCTCAACATTTCTCCCATGACTGAGAAACCAATAATTTTAAAACCTTTCTCATTCCTCCTTAACTGGAGCTAACAAAATTAACTGCTTACATTTTAATTCATTATCCCGCTCTCAAGCTGAAGCAAAGCAATGAAAGTACTCTAACTCAGGTAAAGAGAAAACTGAAAGCAAAAACCACCTGGGGAATCTGTGCACACCTCGGTAGGTAAGTAAGACTGCGAACACACTGCCTCAAGTCAGAGTCCCACCATAGGAAGGCTGGGGTTATAACCTATCCCCCCGGTAGCTCAAGGCCATGGCCAAGCGTCATGTTTCTGAGATGAAGCACTCATTCCTTCCACAGAAAATGACACTACTCCAGGCCCCAAACCATAGCTCGCAGATTCACTGAAGACCGTTAGCTCAGCTGGGAGCTCCAACCCTCTGCTTCCACACGTAACCTTGGATACAGGTAGCCAGGACACAGCCATGCAGTTCCTCAACCCATTTCTGCAGGAGTGAATGTCTCTTTACTTGCCATAGGGTTGACAAATAATTAACTGTGTCAGAAAGATGGGAGGAGTGGAGAGAAATACAGGCATTGAGACTAGGTCCAGAATGGAAACATTTCTGTTTTCCAAATCCCACACTGTGGGAGCGCCAGCAGAGCATGCTTTTGGCCCTGCAATCCACAGGCTGCCATTAAGACCTATTTTGTAATAAGCCAGGTGTCATATTTCATAATGTCAGAAGAATCCAGGAACACCAGAACCCAAGTCAAGCTAGAATATTAATTGCTAAAATAATTTAGAAATTTAAATTGAACTACTTAGTACCTGATCTAAATGTCTTTTGACAGTGTGCTCTTTCTAAAATGGAATGATACCTACGGGTATGGTTTCTGAGTGCTCAGCTTAGACTCAGAGCTAAGCACCTTCTATAGCAAAGTCTGTAGTTCAGGATTATTTCTCTTCCCACTCTCCCCATTAAAAAAAAATTAATATTACATGGTAGCCTATGACAGTTTTCAGGTGCCATGCACACCCTCTTCTGGTCAGTTAGAAGAAAAACTGATCACTGTCAGGAAAGGAATTTTATCAGAAGTGGTACAAACATTGGTCAAAAAAGCAGGGGGGAGGGTGGAAATATTCTGATACAACTGAGAGGCACCTGCGTTTCTTTTCACAATCACCAAAAATTAGTTTCTTCTCATTATGAAAACTAGTGATCCTACTATTTTCTAACAGATGAGTCTATTTTTTCAGATTCCCTACATTTCACTGTGACATACTGACAAGGTCTGGGGCGACTTTAGGGAGAGTGATTAGGTGAGGCTCGGTAAGTGAGGCAATCAGTTCAGTCCTGGCACATTTCACGTCCAGATGATACTTTAGGAAGTGGAGGAAAGCACTGGTTTGCATACTCTGAGCGTGTTGTGACATAACCAAGGACAGTGAGTAAAAGCATGGACTTTGCCATGGGACTGAGTTTGAATTCCAGTTCTGCCATTTACCAGCTGTGGGATTTTGGGTAAGTTACTTAACATATCCATGACTGTTTCATCTAAAAAGTGAGAAACAGTATTTCCTCAAAGGGCTGTTGTGAGGATTAATGAGTTAAAATTGGGAAAAGGCTTAGAACAATGCTTGGCACAGAGCAGCACAAAAAGGAAGCTACAGGAGCCTTCTCCTAACACTAGGATGGTCTCCGGCTAGATGCCGAGGCCTCTGCCACACCAACTATCCCAAATGGAGATTTTTATGAATAACGCCTTCCTGCAGATTTTACCACCTTTTTTGGAAAACCCATGAGAACATTAAGCAGTACTACAAGTTGGACTGTGTTTCTTTATCCGGAGTGTTGGTCAAGTAATGAATTCCTTAAGTACCTTTTCTGAAATGATAAGACAGCATTTCAATAATAATTTTATTAGTTACAGAAGAATCTTCACTAGTATTTACATAGTGCAAAAAAAGCTGTTAATACCCCTAAAATGTTATATAACAATTATCCTTCATACAGCAAAAGAACTAACAAGAGGGATATCCCTTTATGTTATGATTCATACTAATTTTGCTAGTTTTAATTAGAGCATTACAATTAAGACATTAAATTATAAATTCATGTGGTATATTTCAAAATTAAATTACAAAACAATACAAATACTTTTAAGGTGTGATGTGCCAATCAAGTTTAAAATTTATGATTAATTAGGATTCCGATTTCAGATTAGGCAAACAGTTTGGTTGATTCTGTGATGTGTAAAGGTTGGAAAGGGGAGGGAGAAGATGCCTGTAAATAAATTACTTCACAGAAAAAATTTTAAATCAAAAAGATATTTTTAAATGGATAACTTAATGTTCTAACCTGTTGGCACCACACACAGAAAATACTTAAATGACAGGTTTTTTAAGCACACAGCAGCCTTACAAACAGTAACACTTATCTATACATATATTAAAGTAACGATGTGTTGAGATTTAAGTTTTATGTTAGAGAAGAAAAATGAATGTAGAGTTCACTACTCATTTGCACATTACAATTACCAGCCCCACCTCCCCCAGCTTATTATGAAATCAGACAAGTACATTACTTAGATATTAATTTCTCAATATTTAAACTATGTAAATTCCTTTTGACTAATTCTTTTCCAAATACTGAAAGCATATAAAATACCATCTCTGCAAAAAATGACCTCCAGTCAAAGCCTTTAAAAACTTTTCAATGTATAACAGATTATTTTTCCCATATTTAGTCAAAAGAAATATATTACATCATTTACAAATACACTTAAACCAAAAATTAAGCTAATATGAACGTTTGTCTTTTGAGAAGTAATCTTCACAGTAAACAAACCTACTGAAACGGAAATCTAATTTTGGGGAGTGCAATTCATGTTGTAATTCAGATACTTATATATCGAAATAGAAATCTAATATTAATTATTGCCAGTAAAACCACCTCTACACAGTAAGGAAAAAATTGCTATGTTTTTTATTTCTTGTGATGATTAACCCTTATTCTTACCATTAGATCTCTCTAGGTCTCCAAAGAGGCACTCACCCCAGGTCTCCCCGTGAAAACCCCACTTCCTTAATTTTCACACCTTCTCTTGTATATAATGTACACACATTCCAGAACTTACTAAAGCAAACAAATTATAAAGACATTATTAATACTTATTTAACATACTTTCAACATAGTAACATCTCCTTTAATAAATTTCGGGTTGTCCTCTAGAGGTGACCTGTCTCATATAAAAAAGGCTGTGGTCCCTTGGGTTTGCTGGCAGCAGATACTGCACGTGCAAGAGCATTTATCGAACACGTAATCAAACACTTCTAAAGTCTATAGCAAAGTGGAAAGTTATGGGTGTTCCAAAGATTTCCTCAACTTCTCTTTTGATACAAATGTCAAAAATCTAAAATGACAATTCTCATTCAGCAGATATATAAAATATAAGAAACCTTTGAAAAGCCCTTACCTTGATCAAGAGTTATTGAATCACTGACACCGAATGAAATTTACACCATTAAAAAGTATGAAAAGCTTTTAAGTTCACTTTTAAGGTTGTCAGTAGTTCAAAAACTCTATCATTTCTTTAAACCAACTAATACTTCCCAATGTGTAGAGACAGTAAGATCTGCCGCATATAAATCCACGATTTTATTTCAGAGGCTTCATTCCTTACATGCCGTGTTCATGTACGTTCTGGGTACTTTGTGCTTACGGTGTCTATTCTGGAGAAGTTTAGACAGGACAGTACAATAACGGCCCCTAGCAGCACACTAACGAAGCTGATAAACTGACACTTTCTACACGGCGATGCTCTTAAACTCTCACAATCTGTAAATACTAAATCAGCAAGAATCTGACCCCTCCAGTAATTTAAATGCCAGCATTATGGAACATCAAAACTAGCACAGTAGTCCCAATGAGTTAAATAAAGAATCTGCCCAATTCTCCCCTCCTGCCTCTGCGAGGCAGAGCCTACCCTATAAAACCAAGGCAGGGAAAGTACCCCTCCCTCCTCAGTTCTGTGCCTGCTTTGGGAGCTCGTAAGCATAAAGATGGAGTGTCTGTGCGTGTGCTGGTCAGTTGAGGGTGGGGTTGGAGGAAAGACAGAAAAACTGGTAATTTACAATTCTCCCACTATTACATAGACTTGTCAGGGTCACTCACTACCAGGTGGTGACCGACTGGCAAATAAAACGTTTAGCGCAGTATTTCTCCCAAGCAGGTATACACACTCCTAGAGAAGGGCAAGGATAAATAATAGTGATCAAGTATTAATACCTCTGTGTAGCTGCATATTCTAAATCACCTGATAGTTTCAGCACAATCAGAACTTGCTCTTTTCTTCAAAACTTCCTCTTCCAAGCCTTAAGCAGGATACACGTTAAAAGTTACATAAAGTTCCTTTCCCTGACCTCCTATCAGTAACTATGGTTAGTGTTACGTGGCAAGTGCTTGAGGCTAGGGGCAAAATACATGTATTTTTTAAAGGTGAAATGGTTTTCCACTCAGGACAAATTTGGAACTCCCATCAAATCCCTGTCTCAAATAGAGTCCTGAACCAGAAGCATGCAAGAGAACACACCAGTATAAGACTTTGTTTCTGGACTGTGTGCAAGTAAGAGCTGCAGTCATACAATCTGTTATTCAATATCAAAATCTGCCTAACTTTATGTAAATATGAGTATGTACAAAAGCATTCCTGAGGTAAGCAAATATGAGACAGAACCTGGAAGGTCCTTACGTGGGTGACTTTTCACTATCAAATACAACATCTATCACTTTCCACAGACAAGGCCAGTTCTAATTGTGGTGGCCCCTTTGCTAACCTAAGTCCTGGAGGCTGTTTTAGCCCATCCCAACTTTGATCAATGACAACAACAATGATTTCTGAAACAAGCATTTGTTGACCAAAAAAAGTTGCATCAATTCTTAACACAAAACACTTTGTGAACTTACTTATGCTCAGCTTTTTTTTAGTTTTCTAACTCTACAGCCAGTTCTTTTTTTAAAGCAGCCCGAATGTTTTGGTCAGACGGGTTAGAGCAAAAGAAGCATAGCATTGAAGCAAACATTGACAACCGCTCCTATCCTTAAAACCTTGATTTTTAACTTTCAAAATGACTCTCAATAAGTATTTTAAATTTATTTTCTTTAAAACCTGGTCTTGTTCTTTTTTTAAAATCATTATTTTCCATAACAAAATAAGCTGAAACAATTCTGAATTTTCCACACAGTTCTTAGAAAGACATAGATGCTAATTAAAAGCTAATAAGCTATTGATCTTAACAAAACAAGTAAAAGACAGCTACAAAAATATTTCTGTTGGGAATTAAATACATATATTAAATATTGGACAGTGCAAAATGTTGAGATGAAGCATAAATATAATGGCTGTAACCCTTACACAGTGGGAGATAGAAAGCTGGCATTTCCTGAGTTAAAGACTTGGGGGCAAGTAATTAGAATCGGAGTGCTCGTTGTTCACAGAGCTGCAGCTGCTGGGCCTCTGCTGCTCTGGACTTGCTTGGTGGTCAGCAGTCCAGGCCTCACTGTCCATCCCTGGCTCCAGCACCTCAGGCACCTCTGCTTCCTCTTCGCCACTGTGCTCTGCATTGTCTTCCTCAGAACCATTCAGCGTTTTCCCAAGCTGAAGAGTTTCCATCGTTCTCTGGGTCTCAGAGACCCAAGACTCAATTCTACTATTGAGCTGTACTTCTACAGATATGGGTTCGTGGGCATAATCCTCCTCCTCCTCCTCTTCCTCCTCTTCCTCCTCTTCAAGCATGCCAGGCACAAGAGTGCTGGTGGTGCTAGTGATGGACGAATTCAAAATATCTCGGCAACTGCCATCCAGAGAGCCGGTCTCTGTGCTCTGCTGTGAGGCCCATTCCAGGTCATCTGGCTTCACTTCCTCTTTATCACTCACGGCCAATTTCCCAGGGTTTGTAGCTGAGGTAGCACTGCCTGCGGCCACTAACGATGGCTGCTTCCCAACAGGGGCTGTGTCAAATGGAAGTTTACTGGATTTTTCAGATGTGCTATGTTTACAGGAAACCTCTCTCTCATTTTCTGATGTTTCCAGTCCATCTGAAGTTTCCACCATGTTTCTCCAATTTGTTTCTGCAAATATCAAACAGATTTTTAAAAAACTAGAACACTGTTTCAGAGTTATGCAACCCATAAAAGAGGGAAGAACTACAGAAACTTACCGGTTTACCAACTGATTGGAAAAACTAAAAACTTAGATTGTTCTAGTACTAGTTTAAATGTTATAAAGAAAAAACAATTCTTAAAAATGTACATTTAAGATATAAAAACAAAGAGGCAAAAAAATATATATATTAATGCTTGAGAATGCAAAAGTTCTTATGCCAACAGGAGCTCACTAATGCTCATATATGACATTCATATATTCATGAAAATCAATAAATTACCTAACTTTTTTTGGCTCTAAGGTGTACTGGGCTCAAGGATCCACAAGTCACAGGTGGGAGAGCCAAGATGTTCAGCATACGTACTTCTGATCTGACAGGTTTGTATCATGCCCCCTGGGCAAGTTATCTAAGAGCTATCTTTTGGCCTATAATGGGACTGGGGTTTTCATTTATTAGCAAAGAAGCCATCCATGCATTTCTTACATTTCTGTAAATCTGTCTGATAATATACATGGCTTGGCTTACCAAGTGACTTTAAGAACCAAAAAAAGTATTATTATGTATAATACAGTGGTGATAAATCTAAATTATTTTTAATGACAGTAACTCAGTTTAGAGCTAAAAATGTACTACTAATAGAAGACAAAAGAACAGCTCTCCTGCATCTTTATTTTCTTGTTTCCCGTTTTATATTTTTTCATTTTATTTTTTTATTATTAAAGTATAATTGACATGTAACATTATATTAGTTTCAGGTATAGAACATTACGATTTGATATTTGCATAGACTGCAAAATGATCACCACAATAAGTCTAGTTAACACCCATCACCAATATATACTTACAAAATTGTTTTTGTGATGAGGGCTTTTAAAATCTACTCTTAGCAACTTTCAAATATGAAATACAGTATTATTAACTATAGTCACCATGCTGTACATTACATCCCCATGACTTATTATTTATTTTATAAATGTAAGTCTGTGCTTTTGAACCCCCTTTATACATTTTGCCCAACCCCCAACCCCCTTCTCTGGCAACCTCCAATTTGTTCTCTGTATCTATGAGCTTGGTGTTTGTATTTTTTTTTAATTCCACATATAAGTGAGATCACACAATATTTGCCTTTCTGTCTCACTTATTTCACTTAGCATTATGCCCTCAAGGTCCATCCATGTTGTTGTAAATAGCAAGGCTTCATTTTGTTTTTAATGGCTGAATACTGTATAAATATATCACATCTCCTTTATCCATTCATCCAATGATGGACACTTAGACTGTTTCCTTATCTTGGCAATGCAAGTAACAATGCAATGAACATGGGGGTACATATATCTTTTCAAGTTAATGTTTTCATTTTCTTTGGATAAATACCCAGAAGTAGAATTGCTGGATCATGTGAGTTCTACTTTTAATATTTTGAGGAAGCTCCATACAGTTTTCCAAAGTGGCTTTACCAATTTACATTCCCACAAAGAGTACACAAGGATCCCTTTGCTTCACATCCTCACCAACATTTATTTTTTTTGTCTTTCTGATACTAGCCATTCTCACAGGTGTGAAGTGATATCTCACTGCAGTTTTGATTTGCATTTCCTTGATGATTAGTGACGATGAGCATCTTTCATGTACCTGTTAACTATCTGTATGTCTTTTTTGGAAAAATGTCTATTCATATCCTCTACCATGTCACTTCTAGCCCAAAAGCTACTAAACTTGGTCACTACTGCGTCAGCTTAAGCCTTCTTTACCTTGCTGTGCATCTATAATATCTTCCTAATTGACTTTGTGAACTGATTGCATCACTGTCTAATGGGCTTTCTATTACCCAGAAATAGAAAGCTCCTTAGCTTGCCATAGCCGAGCCCTTCATATGTGACTCTCAGCTACCTTTCTGGTCCCATTCATTCTCACTCCCAGCCTTGCATTCCACCCTCAGGATCACAATGATTTCTCACTGCTCCCAGAAGTCACACTCCTTCTATTAGAATTCCTTGCTTTGCATAAACTGTTCTTTCTGTATGAGACGTGTTTCCTCCTTTACCGTTCAGACTCCTCCTCAATAAAATGTCAGTTCCTTTGAGGCCTTTCCTGACTTTCCTGAGTCACTCACTAACCTGAACTCCGACAGCACATTTTGCATCTGCAGTTCAAAGCACTTGTTTTGTGTTTGCTGATCACCCTTCCTCCCTCTTCGTCCCCACTCCTGCTCATCTGTGTGTCCCTATGGTTGGCATATAGTAAGTGCTGGGTGGGAAAAACCCTGTTAATTAAAAACTTTCACACATGCATCATGTGTGGGGAAAAAAAACTTTAAAAAGGATTAAGATTTTTTAAAACTTCAGTTGCACATTTACATTTCCTTCCAACTATTTTTTTTCCTTCAAAAGTACTGCAAGAATTGACTTGGGGTCTTGGAAAACCCCACCAGTCCCTGACAATGAGTGAAAGAACAGGAAAAAGGAGAGGATGGAAGACGGAGCACGGCTGAACTCTCTCAGGACTTAGTCTTGGGCATTCACCTACTAGGTAGGTGAGCTCAGAGCCACCTTGGAAAGGAAAGGGAGACACAGCCTTGGAAGCAGAGACATGGAACTCTGCAATTAGCCACCAAGTCTTGTCACGATGATCAAAGAACCACTGAGATCACATATCCACAGGGGAGGGCCAGGCTCCCACCCTAAAGTAACAGGTGAAGCTTGATTAGCAATTGATGAGCAGGCAAACACTGTGGGGAAAGTGAAAACACTCAGGCTTTCTCGCCACCTTCTCTCAGCAGAAGGCCCCAGTTATGTAAACATGATATAGCATAGTCATAACAGATGCCATGTTAATTGACTAACGTCTGACCCATCCTTGGCTGAGAGCCACTATTGTTCTGGCCCCTATAAAACTGGCCCAGGACTTTCAGAGGTGCGGTTTTGTCCCCTGGGGTGCGGTTTGTCCTCCATGTATCCCCGGCCAGCTGCCACGGGGAGAGTGCAGGTTTATCTCGTGTACATTCGGCACACTGTAATGGAATAGAGTCATGTCTCATCCTCCTTTGGCTCCCCAATTTTCCTTCGGACTGTCTGGGTCTAGTGTGAACCTCCCTGGCCTCGATTGTTTGCACTACGCACATGAACATGAGAGGGAGAAACACAGCAGGTATAAAAGTGCCACCTTTCTCTAGGAGATAGGGGAGATCTGGCTGGAGGATAGAAGTGGGGGAGCAAAGGAGTGCTGAATGCAGGCAGTCTAAGGCCAGAATAGGACAGCTAGACATCCCCTTCTGAAGAGGGGACTAGGAAGCAAGCTAAAGGCAGGATCAAAGATCTTAACAAAACTGGAAATAGTACTGACCCAAACCTACCTTGCTTTTGAATTGTTTATTTTAGCAGAACTTTTTCACCAAAGCTCTTCTTTGCTTATTAATCCCTTCTATGCCTTTCTGTTCTGTTTACTGGTTCTTTGTGACATTATCCTTTTTAAAACTTTCAAGGCACCAGTGTGTTTGTCAGAGGATAAGTGTATATATTTCTCCCTTCAGTCAGCACACACAAGGAAGCTGTCCCTCTTAGATAGCTATATATAGGAAAGGAACAAGCAGAAGAGTTCAAGAGCCTCCAGAGGAAGAGGTGGTAGCAGAGGATGAGCAGGAAACTCAGGATGAATGGACTAGACACTGAGGTGGCCCTCCCTCATAAATGCTTACTGAATACCTGCTGTTTGGTTCCACTGAAAATTCTTTCAACAGGCAGGAAATATATATCACAGAGGCTAACAGTGCAGGTTCCAGAGCTGGACTTACTAGCTGTGACAAGTTATTTACCTCTCTTCATCTCAGCTTCATCTTTACATAAAATTCAGTACAGCCCTGGCTGGTGTGGCTCAGCTGGTTGGAGACTGACCCATACACCAAAAGGTGGCAGTTTCGATTTCTGGTCAGGGCACATACCTGGGTTATGGGTTCGATCCCCAGATGGGGCACGTGTAGGAAGTAGCCCATTGATGTGTGCCCCCCTCCAAAAATAAAAATGCAGTAAAATATTTATCTCATAGGGTTGCTCAGAGGATTAAATGCCTTAGCAAATGGGAAGTGCTGACAAAATGCCTAGCATATAGTGAGAAGTGAGCAATTATTATTATGTATCAAGTGCCTATTATGTGCCAAGTCTTGTTCTCAAAGAACTTACAGCTTAGTTGGGATTTATGTTTGAAACTACTTGTTTCATGTAAGTAAGATAGAATTGAGACTCAGCTCAGGTGGAAGGAAAACATAAGCAAAGAAAATAAAGGGTGCACAAAAGACAATAAGACTGGATTATCACAGAAGCCTTTCTCTTCTACCCAATGATTAGCATCCCTTTCCCAGATTTATTTTTACTTTAAACCATGGAAATCAAAAGAAAACATTTTAGAAACCTGGCACCAAGATGACAAGGAAGATGCTATTTGTTGTCTACCCAACAGCCATTACTCATTTTCTTACTGGCTAACAGAACTCCCAAACCTGGGATGGACTTGAACTCAGTCTCAGGAGATGAATTAAAATAGTTCTTATACCACCATGGTTATCCCATTCCCCTTTGCAAAACATTTTCTTGCTCAAGTCTCCCTTGCATGCAGATAAAAGTAATCACATGAATGATCAGCTCAAGCCAAATAAAACAAAAGGAGAAGTCTTCTGAAAATTTTGCTTCGCTGATAAAAGGAACGCACTGCCTGACCTCCTGCTTTTGACAACAGCTGTGATGCCCAGAGCCACAGCAGCTATTTTTAAACATGAGATGATAAAAGCATAAGCAGCAGCCACAGACTGAGAATGAAAGAACAGAAAGTAGGGAAGAGCTAGTACAATAATTAAATATCCTAATTTCTTAGGCCACATTAGTGTGTTCTATGTTTGTTACTAAATGCATACAGACAGAATACTTTATGTTTTGCTCTCAATGTTATTATGGTTACTTTCACTCAGTTTTGTTGGTGTCCTGATAAATCAGCTCATCAGGCTAGAATCATTAAGGTTCTAAATCCCTTCTTGGGATTCAACCATTAGTTCACAGAATTTTCACTTGGAATGGAATTTTATAGGTGTCCTAGGCAAAATCCTCCTCATTTTAGTAAAGAGAAATCTCTGAGGCCCAGAAATTAATCAATTATGCTTAAATTTCCCAGGCAGGGGGTGAAAAAGCCAAGGCTTCAATCATCAAACACTTTAAATCTGGTGTTTTTGAAAACATCTCATAAATTTCTGAGAGGTTCTTTTCATAACTTCTTTCTATGCACCCAAATGAAGATCACTGTCGTTTGCCCAGACCCAAAGCTTTATGAATTTATCTTGCAGTTTGCCTTTGAGGTCTGATGTATCACTGTACAGAGGGACCTCATTTAAAAAGCTAGCACTTTACCTTCTTTATTTTTAACTAGTATCACTCCAGCCAAAGAAACGTGTCTGCCCCTAAGCCAGGACCACCTATCCTTGACCAACTGTTTCCTAAAGGCCCACAATATCTTGATATAGTCTCTGGTCTGCAGAGTTGTCACAAGTATTCCAAACATTTAACTACAATGACAGGCCAGGAAAGAGAGCGTGAGAAGAAAGGAAGAAAATGAGGACTCAGTTTTCTACATGTTAAGTTTTAGATTGGCAGCAAGCTATTTGGTAAATTCTCAGATAACAGATTAAAAAGAGAAAAGAAGAAATGACAAAAAGCCAAGTTGAAGGAGGTGGCTATACTATTTTAAAAAAAAGAAAAAATAAGGGAAAAAATTCAGAAACTAGATTGAGAAAGAATTTAAGAATTCGAGGTATGATAGTATTACAGTTCAAAGGCTTTCAAGGAAACTGTTAAGATGTAGAGTGCAGTAAATATGTAACTTTAAACATCACACATAAGTGTTTCTTAGTTTCTATATCTTTTTGACTACAATAAGATTTAACTCAAAAACCAATGTCAGAACTATGTCTAGGTTTTATAAGCTTAGATTGAATAGTAGTCAGGTCTTTTGTACACTTAGTAAATACAAAATTTTAGCAACTGAGTATAAAGTATTAGAATAAAACATCCCAGAATTTACTAAGTTACAGATCACAAGTAAGGTGCATTCTGCATTTTAAATTCTTTTGGGATTTTTCTTTTTTAAGATTATGGAAATGTGACTAAATTTCCGGTCTAACAGAAAGCCTCAGCCCCAAATAGTCTCCTAATTTTTAATGGCTGTGTTTACTGCAATTTTTTAAACCAACATTTTAAGCAAAATATGAATAATCAAATCACTAAGATAAAAACAAAAGGTTGCATGAAAAGTCATTTTCAAATGATCTTAAAAAATAATTTCAAAATTTAAGTCATCTTTAATGGTACGTAACAACTTACCATATTCCTTTTCATTTACTTCAGAAATGGGCTCAGAAATGACACTGCAGAAAGAAATGGCGCTGGCTGCCGAGGGGTTCCGCGAATGCCCCATGTGGTGCGGCACCTTCTTCACGTTTTTCAAGGCTTCCTCTGCCTGCTCTTGTTCCATTGCCGCAACCATATCTTTATAGGCTTTCCTGGCCTCCTCAGTGAGTTCCACTAACTTATTAAACAGGCTCTAAAAAGAAAGAGATTTTGATTAGTCCATTTTTTGCTATACTTCCTATTCCTATTATTAGCAATAAATCTCCACTGTTTCAGAATCAGATACACTTTCAATCAGCACAAAATCCAAATGGTATGCCAACCACAGAACCTTATAAAATACTCTGTAACTTGCATATATTATTTACTTAATTCTCACAAGACTGAGGAAATTTCCTGATTCAACACTAGTCATTACTAAGTGTGATATATTAAAAGTTCTTGTAGAATTTATCAATTCGACAACTGCACACTTTAGCATTTGGCACTACAGTGGGTACAAAGACCACTGGAACACCACTCTGCTCTCAAGAAAACTCCCACGTGGCCAGAAGGAGAAAACAAGAGACAGCTATAATTCAAGGCAAAATATTGTAACTGCCTTAAGATGTACGAAATGTTTTGGCCTTTAGAGAAAATATCATATCTAACTGCTGGGAACCAGTGAAGAATTCATGAAGTAGTATGACATCTGATATAGGCTTTGAAAAATAGGTAAAATTTTGAGAGGACACAGTGCATTCTTACTCAAGCAGGTAAAATCATGAATAAAGATATAGGCTTTAAAAAGTACAGGGCATGGCCCTGGCTGGTGTGGCTCAGTTGGTTGGAGCGTTGTTCCATACCAAAAGGTGGTGGGCTAGATTCCTGGTCAGGGCACATACCCAGATTGTGGGTTTGATCTCCAGTCAGAGCATGTATGGAGAGCAACTGATCAATGTTTCTCTCTCATATCGATGTTTCTCTCTCTCTCCTCCCTTCCTCTAAGATCAAAATACACACACACACACACACACACACATACTTAAAAAAAAAGAAAAAAGTACAAGGCATGTTTGGGGGGCATTGAAGAATCTTATGAGTTGGAACATAAGGGAACAAGTGTATGGAGGGTGATGTTCTAGGATGCACAAAAAGATGGCAGTCTCCACAGAAATTAAAAGTTCCCTGTAATGTTTCCTTGTTGGAAAACCTTAAAGAAGACCAAAAAGAAGTCAGTGCCTGTATGGCTAGTGGGGGTTTGGAAAATGATGAAAATATGACATGTATGTGATAGGAAACCCAAAGATACTGGGACAAACGCAAACTATAAAAGTAAAACAAAGAGCTGAAAGTAGAATGTGGAGCTAAATAACCAGAAGTTCTTCCATCAGAGAAACAGAAAAAAACATGAAAGGAATTAATAAAGTGAAACATAGGTGACGGGGCATACTCATGTTAATAAAATGACAAAATTCATGTTAAGGGGGAAGAAATACATAAACTACAGCAAAGCAGTGTGATATCTGTAACTGAGAAAAGCAAGGGCTACTGTGGGAGCGCACATATTAATTATATACTCAGAGAGAGTAGGTTGGTAGGTAGAAAATTTCATGGGTGATGGTAGAGAAGCTAAATAAAGAGAGAAAGGAGTATGTAAACATGGTGACTGGATAGGAAAGGACAGACACTTAAAATACAAAAATAGGCAGAGGAAAAATGTCACAAAATACTTTAGAATCAACTTCATAAAAAAGTCTTAAAACATTGTATGTTAATAAGCATTACTCTAAATAAAGCTGATACCTTTATGTTATTAGCTCCTATGGGTAAAACTTTGTATTAGCTGACTGCAAGAGAAAATGAAGGTATCAGAGTTACAGAATTATTCCGACAACTGGTTTAGAAATTTCATTTTCTAAAGTAATATCCTCTCCAATTAAAGGATTCTTTTCTCTCAACTCCTCATAGCACAAAATATACCCAACATATAGATTGAAATTATTTTACATTGCATAATATCAGATAATCTTTACCTAGCAGTTAAATAAATGATCAAGTATTACATAGCTGAACCCAGAAGAAAAAAACACTGTGGCAGAAATAGGAGCTAAACATCTTTTCAAAATGCTGTAGGATTAACTTATGTAAGGGCTTCAACACTAAAAAAGGAAATGTAATACTCAAGAATGTTCCACTCATTCTTGGAAAGTTATCATCTCACTTCTTCAAATGCTTAAACATAACACTGGCATGTGTCAACAGAAAATGTACTATGTAGGGGCAGGGCGGGGGGGAGTGAAGGAGGGTGTGTCTTCCAAAGTCTTACCTCAGCACCAAAGTAGTTGAAGATTCCCACTACACTAACAGGAACCAGCTTGTTCACACAGCGTCCTAGAGCTTTTCTTCCAAGGGCAAACACAAAAGGAATTTCTTGTTCCCGTGCCATGGCTATAACATTATAGAGAGCTTCATCCAGGCCACCTGAAAAAGTCAATACATGTAGAGGTTTTAATTTAATTATTTCCGAAATAGAGCTATTTTAACACTGAACAGCTAAAGCATACACAGTAGCAGAGGATTCTATGAAGGCCTGTGGCACTCACACTGTTTCACACATTTTCCTATCTGAATCTGTACTATATATGGACCTATGTACATATTTTCTCTCTCTCCAATTAAATTCCAAATTCCTAGTATTTTTGGCTCATCCATAGGGATTAGCAGAGCAGTCCAATTTCAATTTAATAAACATTTGTTTAGAAGAAATTAAAACTGTTAACAGTGGCTGATTCCTTTATCCCAGCTCAAGTGGCAACCCATCACACGTAACAATATTGCATGTTACTGTTTTTACTGGTATTTCTCCCCTATGCAGAACATACCTGGTACTGCTACTTGATGCATCTGTCTACTTCAACCACCCAAAGTGGCTACTTAATGAAAAAGTACAAATAAGGATACACAACATAGTGAAGACTACTTGTGTGCTGGCTCACCCAAGAACCTCTGTATTAACTGCTGGTTTCTAAGGGACAAATCTCCACCATAAGCAAGAGAAAGAGGCCATCAAAGGAAAGCAATGTGAAAGTGTAAAAAAGATGAAGGTATTTGCAGAGGTAAAGAAATGCACTCTTGCTAGTCCTCACTTATTACAAGAGGGCACAACTGGTTGTCCCAACTTAAAGCCTTCACTAGTGGTCCATAGATGGAAATTTTCTTTATAATCCAATCTTTATTTTATTACTTAATTTTGGGTACTGAAATATATTTTCTTTTCTCATGTTCAACATTATGTTTTATACCTAAACTCTGCTAAGTCATATGACTTCCACTTTAAAATTCACTGTATATCCTACAATTATACTAAATAAGTATCAAAACACTTCAAAAGTAAAATGTTCAGACCTTTTGACTGGATTTTTTCACAGTTTGGAGAAATTATAACACACTTGATCTTGTTTAACTTCATGTGTTTGGTAACCTCCCTTAGACCCATAACGAGCCGTCTCCTCGCTTTTGCTCTTACAGGATCCTTTTGATAGATGCGTTCCTGGAAACTGACAAGCTCTTGAAGAAGAAGAGTCACACATTCATCAATCTCTTTACAAAGAACCTGATTACAATACCTGTAAAGGAAACCAAATATAAACAAGTTTGTTCTAATTTATTTTTCTGTAAATATAAAATTACTTCAGGAAAAAAATAGATCAAGAGGTTTTCATAAAAAACTTAAATCTTTAAAATCTCTTATCCCTTCAGTCAATTAAAAAACAAAAGAGTTTTTCTGAATTACAACAGTCTGGCTTTTACACAAAGGATAGATCAACCTCAGGGAAGTACTATCCAAACTCCCAATTACTACATTTCTAAGGATATAAATCAAATGCTACCTTGTTAATTAGATAAAAAATAGATATAATGTTTTTGGTAAGGAGATATAAGGTTATTTCATTCCAATGAGTATTAAAGATGCTTCTAGTAGGAAAGAAATATAACATTGTAGCTCCTTACTGAATGCCCTAATACCAACAATTCCTCCTCCACTCCTGGAGAAGTCAGAATCTCTAGGCATTGCTTTCCTCAACCATAAAAATACAGAGTTAAGTAAGATGACCTCAATGGTCCCTCTAATGCCGAAAACCTACAGCTATGGAAGATGAACTCAGTAATTAAATTCAAGCCAAAATATATCAGGCAAAGCAACTGAATGAGGCTCTTTGTGATATATATGGTAACAATGCAAAAAAGTAGAATGAAAATAAGTGTGAGGCCACTACAGCACTTAATTCCAGAAATAAGGAAGTCATCTAAGTTTGTTTATTCTTAACATACTCTTCTTTCCTAGTTTTAATCCCTACCCTACCCTCTATCACGAGCAAGTACTTAACAAGGAAAACTGGTGTAATTTCTAACCTAGGAAAAACCAGGCAAGTCAATTTCTACTTCTAAATTACACTGTAGAGTGGAAAAATGTAGGCCTGCCCTTTTTTAGTAAAAAAAAAATTTTAATTTTGCTTTGAAAAATTTATGCTTATACGAAAAATGTTTAAATAAGTACAAGTATGACACTACTTCAGAAGGGAAGATAAAACTGGACAGACTGAGGAAAGATTTATATTAAAGTATGCAAAATTAAAGAAGAGAGCGTCAAAAATGCAATTTTCTTCATTGTTTTTCTTTAAGCTATTTATTTCATACATATATATAGCATTTTATTTTCTGAGAGTTTCCTTTATTTCACATCTGTTATTTGACATTTAATTAATTCTCCAAATCTAGACAAGAAGTATTTGCTCAAAAGAAAAGTTTAAAGAAAAGGAACACAACAAACCAATGTGGTTTGGATTCACATAGATTTTTACTTTCACCTTGGGATTTGTTCATGTTAATTTTAAAGGTAAAATTAAAATTAATTCATCTGCACAAATGTTAAAATTCTAAAATCCTTCACAGCAATAAATGTTAGTTCAAGGTTATTCACAAATGGGCAATTTAAAACTTAGAAATATTTGCTCAAAAACAAACAGCTTTATGTAATAGGTTCACTTCATGTAATAGGGTCTTAGAATCTTGGTATTAATTGGTTAGAAAGGTTTGTGGGTTTTTTTTGAAGGGCCAGAATATAAATAAAAAACTGAAAGCACTCGGAGAGGGAAAACCTCATAGTACACAGCATTTTATATCTAAGATGTAAGAGGCCAATTCCAAGGTAAAAACACTATCTGATGTAAAAAGAATATATTTATAGTCAACTCACTTTCACATGAACACTGACAGCTGACGCAAAAGCTTTAAATATAATCAAACCAGCTGACAGACAAAATCTGAAAGAACTTAAAGATCTTTAGTGTTGTATCTGTTCAACCAACCAAGTAATAATGGCAAAACCACATTCAGAACTACAATCAAGGTACTTAAGCTATTCAACTTCAGTAATGAGACTAAACTTACTCTCTAAATCTTTTGCTGTGGATTTTGGTTATTGTTGAAGATGCCATTGGACTGCCTATCCCAGAACTAGCCGGAGAGCCTTGGGACACAGGTGTCATACAGTACGGAGAGTTCTGACTTGCTGGAGAGAGTGAAGCATCACTGGGCATGCTCAGTCCAGTATCTGCAGAGATGTGGGGTGAGAGTAAAGAATTTAGAAACTTCAAATGCTGAAAAGCTCTATATTAAAATCAATATAATCAATACAACTTAGAGTGGCAGCTGTCTTTTGCATCACTTCCAAATTCTCCAGAAGCTAACAAGTTGGACAATACTCATATCACAAATAAACATTTCTCATATACTACAAAAGTGAAGTCTTCCTATTCTCTCTCAAAATATATGCCAATAAATAATAAATAAATAAATATCAAGCATGGCCTACAGGTCTCCAGAGAGGAGATGAGAGAAGGCCAAATGATCTAAAACATGTTTTCCTAGAGGGTTTAAACTGAAAAACAAAGGTATTAACTTCTGTACCAGAAGATCATATTACCATCTCCTTCATTTCTATTTTTTCCCCGTTTCTTAGAAATCATTTAAAAAACTATATAAAAATTCCCATTGCTTCTGGCAATGATGATTCTACCTAACTCATTCTCTCCACACCACTCCTGATTCTCCAGGTACCACCCGTTTCTCTTTCATTTGGTCTTCTGTGCTCAGGCAAATTTTTATTTATTTTAATTTTTTAAATATATTTTTAAATTGATTTCTAGAGAGAGAGGAAAGGAGAGAAAGAAATATCCATGTGAGAGAGAAATATCGATCAGCTGCCTCCTGCACGTCCCCCACCGGGCAATCAAGCCCACAACCTGGGCATGTGTCCTGACCGGGAATCAAACCAGCAACTTTTTGGTGCACGGGCTGATGCTCAGCCAACCAAGCCACACCCAGCGGGGCACGCAGCTGCATTTTTAGATGCCATCTAACTCAAATACCCCCTTCAGTTAGTGCTTCTTTCCTAAACACCTAAATCGAGGAAATGAGTATTTGTATATTCAGTCCATTAATTAGCAGTTATACATATAGCTTATCTCCACACACAATTAGCTTTTTGTAGCAAGACTAGCCCATTATATATCTTAATTACGTTTCCTGACTTTCCAATCCCCATCCGAGTTACTAAAGTACACACGATAGTTATTCAAGAAGCACCTTCTGAATGAATAGATGGAATAAATACACCTAAATACAAAGACAATGATACTTGAGAGTAAAAGGGAATCCTAACCAAATATGTCCTAGCTGAACAATCCTTAGAAGTAAATTCATTTTGCTAAACACAGTGGGATACTGATATTTAATCTATAAATAAATCAGATTTAAATGTGTTGAAAAATGTTGAGGAATAAAAATATACCAGCAGAAAACGGGATCTCTCCAGGTCTTTCTTAAAATCTTTCTTCTACGGTAGTATAATTTCAGAAGGAATCTATAGATTTCCAACTGAAGTCCCAACTGGAATCGTACATGCTGGCTACTGTATGGATTGAATCTTACTGACCAGCTGGACTGTGCACTACAACAGGCTTTACAACTCTCTACTCATTGTGGCATGTACATTAACTCATGAGAATCAAGAAAATAATTCACTTAAAATAGTCCTGTGAAGAACGAGAGCCAATAGTATTCCAAATATAGAAGAAATCAAAATGTAAAGAACTGTGACAGTGAATGCATTGGTGAGATCGTAATCATGAAGGTTTACAACAAATTCAGGAGTTAAGTCTCAAAAATGCCCAAGACCTACCACATAACACTGCTCCCCTCCTTTATTATATCTCCCTATAGAAGCATCTTCAAAGAAAACACTCTCAAAAATAAAGAAATTTAAATAAAATATAAAGCATATCCTCCAATTAGGAGAATAGTATGGTATTTAGTGGTGGCTTGCCTATCAATTAAAAAATACTCTAAACCATTCCATGAGAAGACAGGGAAAGGGGTGATCTTACCTTCCTGGGAAACAATCTCCTGTGGCAAATCATCAATAAAATCTAAGTGCATTTCTATTGGTTCCTCAGATCCCAAAAGATTGTGGTCCACAGTTAAACGGCCCTTCTTTTCCTCTCTTTCTTTCAAAATAACCTAAAAGTCATTACCAGTCTTTAATTACTGATCACTCTTTAAGTATGTACTGAATAATTAGAATGTTCACTATTACACAGGTACAGCAGTTCACTTAAAAATGGACATGAGAATTTTGGGTTGGCTATGTGTTTAGTTGGCTATGTAGAAACTGACTGGCAAAAAGGTAAGTGTAATTTTAGGCACTGTAGCTGAAGGAGTTACTAGATCCAAAATAAAGGGAGGCAATTATGCTCTATAATACTACAACTATCTAATCACATCTACTTCAGTCTTTAAATACTGGATGGTGACACCTAAATAGTTTCCCAGAAAATAGATAAAATAAAAAGTTTGGAAACTAGGGTATAGAGTTACATTCGATTTACATTTTGCAGTTTTCAATTATTTGGACATGGATTATCTCCTCCTAATAACAACACTGAGTTAAATGGAGCAGTGCTGTTATTTAACACTTACAGATAAAGAAGGGTAAGGTTTGCCTAAAACTACATAATAAGCACTTAAATTAGTATCAGAATCCAGAACTTCTGATTCCCAGGGTCCAATGCTTTTGGATGCTAAATGTTTAACTTTTAAAAAATCTTATAGAAAGAATTCATTCTCCAGGGACCTGTTCAACACAGTCACAATGCTGATGATATATCCCCAACTTCAAATTAACTGGTCATCACCTTTACGATGACGCCTATGAACATTTCACAATAATCTGTTGGCTAAAATGCCACACTACTTTTGCAAAACAGATTTAAATTCTTATTATCCTATAAAATAAACATCCCAGACTTTGGTTTACCTTTTTAAGTGCTGTGGGCCGTTTTAGTTTTACAATTTCCTTCTCTTTTCCTTTTTTTGCTTTAGAGGAAGTAATGTCCAAAGAATTAAAGGATGTCAAACAGGGCTGACTTTTGGTTAAAGGTTTTCTGTTAGTAGAGTCTTTAGTGTGAAAAGAAGCTGCAGTGACCACTAAAAACAAACAAGAACATTAGTTTTACTACTACAGCCAACTCTACATACTTTGAAATTTTCTAATGATAAATCTACAAAAACAAGAGCATCCTCTTCTTGTAGAAAAACAGACATCAAATTGTCAGAGCAGCACATAGCTGTGCAGCAACCCTCAGATACAGCTTTTATCCATTTTATTAGCCTCCACAAGATAAAGACAAAGCCAATGCAATGAACTAATTTAGCAATCCAAAGTAGGGATATCTAAGTTATTAGTTATACTCTACTGCAGCAATACTCAAGCATGTCAATTCTTGCAACTGGTCTCTAATCAGAATCATTCTACCTCTGACATTTCAGAACTCTGCACCTCCTCTTATTCTCACTGAATCTGCCTTAAGAAAGAATCACCCTTCTATGTAGTCTATCACTCCTCTCCTCATTTCAGTCTGTCAGTAAAGAGTAACACCCCCCCTCAGCTGCATTCTCAGTACTAATCGGCAATTCTTTTATGCCTGACTGATGCCCTCATTCTCCAATGGCTATCCCCAAATCCTTCACCAATCCTAAACCTTTAATCTCATTCCTCTCACTCTATCAGACAAGTTTTTTCTGCTACTTCTCTGAGAAGAGGCTATCCAATATAAAGTTAAGCCTCCTGAGAGGAGACAGCAGACATCCTTACTCCTGTCCTAAGCTCACCAACCACCTGTACTGTTAATTCCATTTCAGGATTAATTCCTCGAGAATCTCGCTCCATCCCTTTCCCCTTGAATCTTTCAAGTTCCTCATTAACCTGACTCTTTTCCCTAACTCTCAAAAAAACTCAAATCTCCTCTATCAAAAAGAAAGAAAAAACAAACAGGCAAATCAATAAACTCCTTCCCTTGACTGGCTTCCCCTCAAGTTCAGGTACCATCATTCCCCTTTCCTTCCTTGTTAAAATTCTGAATAGTCTGTGCTTCCCAAATCATTACAATCGGGCCTCTGTCCTACCCACTCTTGAAACTGCTATTGTCAAGATCACATATAACGCTGCCATTGTCAAATCTAATTCTCCTGAGTCTTCATGCTCTTGTTTCTTTCAGCATTTGGGAACAAAGACCACACCCTCTTCCCCCCAATTCTAACTTTGCCTTCTGTAACTTGGCACTCTCCCATTTCCTTACTTTCTGAAACCTATTTTTTTGGTTCTTCTTCTTTTTGTTCTTTAAATCTGAGCATTCCATAGGCTTTATCCCTGAATATCTTTTTTTCTAACTTTTCTTTCCCTGACAATTTTATGCATTTCCACAGCTACAACAATCATCTCTATTTAAAACTCACCGACTTCTAACCTAAACTGCACATACATACATAACTATAGGTTAAATGGGAGTCACCAGGATCTCCCCAAACAGCACTTCAAATGCAATAGGCCAGAGTCTGCTCCTCCCAACAAAATTCTTCTTTCATGATCCTTCTTTGTTAGGTATCACCAGCCCTTACCACCACACCACAATCCTTCAAGCCAGTGAGTATGGAGTCATCTTTGACATGCTTCTGCATTCCAACAGTAAAAAACAAACAAAACAAAAACACCAACAAAAATCCTATCAATTCCTTACAATCCTTTCACATCTCTATCATCATCTCATCCTTTTTTTGGACTTCCCACGAAAGTTACTTTCTTTGTAATCAACACTTTCCAATTTAAACACTGGTGACAGATTAGAAGTTAACCTCATTTCTATTGGTCAAGAATCCTACTGCCCCTTCAAAGCCCAGTCCAAATGCTATCATATATGAAGTCATTTAATGTAACATCCTCCCCACACCTCCCTGTTGACATAAATTACTCTCTCTTCTGAAAGTTCATAAAACTTTGCTGATGATATCTTTCCTAAGGAGCTACTTTTTATTAGTTATTTGTGTCTTTCTCCCTGACTAGAATATAAACATCTTTCCACAGCTGTATCTTTCCATAGGTATATCCCGAACGCTGCTAACCCTCAATTCCATTCCCTATAGTCCTTTACTCTTAGTGAGATGTTACTGCCACTCTCCCCATCTCAACAACATGCAACTCTAAAGCTTAGTATGCATTCAGTATTATTTTTACTAATACTTACTCAAGGCTAAGTTTCAAACTGGATGGGTTACTAACTATAGATTTAAATATTTTGCAAATAGGATTAAAGTTATACACTGGTACTTATATTTTCATCTAAAAACAACAGATCCTTTACAAAGACACAGGAGAAACAGAAAATTCAATTCTGCCTGTCAACATCTGTGCTTTTGATTGGTGCCTTTACCTTCCCTTTATCTTACTCCTCATCTCTTAAAACAAAGACTATGAAAGAAATGAGGAAGCACATCAGAGCGGCTGAATTCTAAATTTGACATGGTTTGCTAAAATGTCCGTTACTGTTTTAGCAGAAAGGCAGATCATTCTCATTCTCATTCCCACCCCCCTCAAAAACACACACACACACACACACACACACACAGACACACACACACAATTTAATCAAAACACCTGTTTCCCATTTAGTTTTAAATTGGATAATTTAACAGAGAGCCACATTACTTCTTATTCTTACTTCAACCTTTGAAGAAGAAAAAATTTGGTTGATTCAAAATGTACATCAACTGACATTTGAACAGACCTGAAGGAACAAGCTATACTGATATTCGAGGAGAGTTTCAGGCAAACGAAACACCAAGCACAAAGATGCTGAGCAAGGAGCATGCTGGGTGTGCCTGTGGAACAGCAAGGGAGCCAAAGTGACTAGAATAGAGTACCAGGAGAGAAGGGTCATGAGGGTAGAAAAATAACAGGATAAGCTAAGACGTGGCCTTAGCAGGACTCTGACTTTACTCCAAGTGAGATGAAGAGCTACTGAAAGGTTCTGGGGAGCAGACTGATATAATCCAGCTTATATTTTAAAAGATCACCCTTTGTAAAACAGGCTGGGATTAGGTAATAGGTAGGAGGCTACTATAGCATAGTACAATGATGGGGACTACTAGGGAGCAGGAGAGGAGCTAGTGATTAGAGCCCAGATTTCTTTAGATTTATATAGTTTAGATTAACAATACCCAAAATAAATTACCAAAGCCAAATAGCAAACCGCTCAGACTAACAGTATCACCTGTGTATGACAGAGGTCTGGTATTGGTAATTTGCCGTGCCTTCATAGCTTGTTGTTGTTTCTCCAGAGCTGCTAACATGTCCCCCAAATCTAGCTGCACAGGTGTTTTATTCTTTTTTCCAGCTGCCTTTGATAAAGCTTCCTGCAAGGTAAACAACAATAAAAAAAACTTACTTTTTGTTTTAGTATGAAAGTGCGTCAATTTAAGATGATTCTGTCACTACTTCTGTCCATCCTTGCAAACCTACCAAATAAACTATTACATTTGTTCATAAAAATGAACATATACATACCTGTAATTTTTTTTGCTCCATACTTATTTCTGAATATTCTTGAGCTGTGGCAAGGGCCGCTGCTAAGGCTTTCTTCTTCTGACTTTTTGCACGTTTAGGAACTGAGGTTGTAATGGGAATTGGAGTCTGAACTATATTGATTGGTGAGTTTTCAGGTAAGTCATCCAACTATAATAATCAGAGAAAAACATTTGTCATTGAGTCCATAAAAGCCAAATCATAAGGAAAGACCATCAAGAATGTGAGATGCAGCCCTGCCCAGTGCGGCTCAGTTGGTTGAGCGCTTTCCTGTGCACTGAAAGGTCGCAGGTTCAATTATCAATAAGGGCACATGCCCAAGTTGTGGGTTTGAATCCCAATTAGGGCAAGTACAGGAGGCAACCAATCGATGGTTCTCTCTCATATCGATGTTTCTCTCTCTCTCTAAAAGTAATAAAAACATTAAAAAAGAGAGTGTGGGATGTTCTAAAGTATAACTAGACTAGACTCTTCAAAGGATTCAATGTCATAAAGAAGAGTATATGGTGGGACCATTCTAGACTGGGATGACATAACAACTTGATGCAATAGGTGATACTTGTCTGCACCTGGGACTAAAATCAAAATAACTCCAACGTTAAGTTTTGCAACAACTGGGGAAGTTTCAGTATGGAATGTATGTTGCATGATGTCATTTAATTAATGGTATTTTCTTGTCTGTAATGAAACTATGACTTTCATAGGACAGTGTCTGTTCTGGCTATGCTGACCTATAATATTTCTTTTCAACATAGGCACAGTTCAAAAGATGTTCAAATATTTTGCTTATATTTTTTATTTTTACTTTTTAAAAAATTTGATTTTTTTTTTTTTTAAGAGAGAGAAGAAGGGAGAGGGGGAGAGAGAGAGAGAAACATCGATGTGAGATAGGAACATTGGTGGTTGCCTCTCATACACACTCTGACAGGACCAGGGACTGAACCTGCAAACTGGGCATGTGCCCTGACCAGAAATTGACCCAGTGAACTTTTGGTGCATAGGATGGATGATGCTCAACCAACTGAGCCACACTGGCCTGGGCTTTGCTTATATATATATATATATATATATACACACACACGCACACACACACACACACACACACACACATATATATATATAAAAATAAATAAAAGAGTCACTTACTACTTTTGAAGACAGTTTCTGTTGAATATTCTCATCTTTAGCATTTCCATTCTCATTTAGTTCTTGAAATCCATCTTCATCCTGAAATAGTTCCACATTTCAAATAAAAACAGTTCAAAGAAATAAACTCTTAAGAAAAGTTTTTATACTGCTTAAGACTAATGAAAAATGGGGAAGTAACTTTTATAGTACTAATATTAAACCATTAAAAGTCATTCTTAAAAAGGAATTCTCGCCCTGGCCAGGTGGCTCAGTTGGTTGGAACATGATCCCGCACACCAAAAGATTGTGGATTCAGTTGCTGGTCAGGGCACCTATCTAGGTTGGGGGTTGATCCCCAGTCAAGGAACATATGGGAGGCAACTGATCAATGTTTCTCACTCACATCGATGTTTCTCTTTCTTCCTTCCCCTCTCTCGAAAAATAAAAAAACATATCCTCAGGTGAGAATTAAAAAAAACAACAACAAAATCTCATTTCTCTCAAACATAGCTATTTTAATTATTCAAGGATAAGGGATAGCTACACATGTCCATCCTCTGGATTTCTGCATCTACTATTCAGTTTTTATAATTCTACCCTGCTATGATAGGGTAATAGAAAAGAAATTCTAAGGGATTTTATAACATTTCAGATAATTTGGGAATAAATTAATCACATGGCTTAATATGAAGTTCACTAATACACTCCCTGAGTGCATTATTACACATACCTATCACAGTTAAAAGTTAAAAAATAACAATTTTTTAAAATTTCCCATTCAAAATAATTTCTTAACCAATATCCTCCTTTACATTGAAAATTACATCTAATATCTTTAACTAAATTGTAAGTTTGGAACCAATCGTATGGTTAAAAGCAAATAATAAATCTGCCACACATACTGTTCTTGATAGAATAATTGAGATGCACTCTCAAGTCTTTTAGGTCAATTACTAAGCTTATCTAATATAATAGTCATCTCTAGCCTCTGGGGTCAAGCACATTTTCCAGCTTAATCTCCATCTCTTAACCTATTTTACAGAAACTGTGACCCAACAAAAATGAGTTACTCAAATGAGTGACCTGAGATGCTGTTCCCTATCTTGACACAACCAAAATACTACTCATTCTTTTAAATCTATTCCAAATGTTATCCCTACCCTACCCCAAGTCTAAAGGGACCTGTCTCTCCTTTCAACTCCAGCCATACTCAGCAGGTATCTAGGAGTGAACATGTCTACATTCCTCTACTACAAAGCAACTGCCACAAGTGAAGCAGTATGTTTATTCACCTTAATGTATCAGTCAGAATACCTTACTTCTATACATACAAATAGGCCTCCAACCACAGCCAGTGAGATGAATAAACAATAGAAATACTGCAATTAGAATATAAACTTTCTGCATATTAGAAAGCAAAATAACCTGTCTTCTTCCTTCTCCAAGACTCTCCTGACTAGAAGCACTGAACTATTCAAATTTGAAAAACTTGGACAAATAAGCTGAACAATAACAAAAACTACGAAGAAAGTTTTATACTAGGTGAAATCCACGTAAAATCAAGTTCTACCTCTACATGTTACCACAAAATGATAAATGCTCATGCAAAAATGAAAGTGAAATTAGTGAAATTAATGTTAGACTGACTACAGAGGGTGGGGAAAAGTAGGTTTACAGTTGTTCATAAGGAAAACAATACAATTAATAAATAATAAAACAAGAATTAACTGCTTTGCATACTTATAACTGTAAACCTACTTTTGCCCCACCTTGTATATAACCAAGACAAAAATAAGTCAATACTTCTAAGTAATTTATAATCTAATAGTAGAGTCACATGTTAGGATATACAAGGTAGTAACATAAAAGAAGAAAATTAATTTCTTAATGGGAACATCTGCTAGAACAGTTTACAAAAAGAATATAAAAAAATACCTCAAAATATAAAGAATCAGAATTTGGGTCGCTTCTATGAGACTGACTGGGGTTTAACTGCTTATTATCTTGTCTCTTTTGCAAATTCTGTCTTCTTTCTGAGGAAGTACTATGTCCTCGGCATCTGGATCCAACCTAAGTAAACCCCAGAGAGGGGGAAAAATTGTGTTTCATTATTTTTAAGTATGTGTTTTATTGGAAGTATAACATACTTACAGAAAAGTAAACAAAAGTATACAACTCAGTGAATTTCATAAAAGTACATAATTTATTATAAAAAGTTAAAACTGTTGAGAAATAAGGTCATTATAAGGAAAATAGGAAAATGCAATAATGCATGTTACTTTTCCCCCTATGGATGAACGTTTACACCATTTTTATTCATAACCAAAAACTGGAAACAACCTAGATGTCCTTCATTGGGAAAAGAGTGAAATGCTCTGCGGTACATCCATACTATGAAACAGTAGTCAGCCACCAAAAGGAGTGAATATACCCAATAATCTGGATAAATCTCTAGAGAACCATGCAAGTGAAAGAAAGCCTATCCTAAAAGGTATGCATTAATTCACTTATACAACATTCTTGAAATGACAAAATTATAGCAAGGGGAAACATATTAGTGGATTCTAGGGGTGAAGGAGAGACTGGTGGGGTGGGGACAGGAAGGGAGCATGGCTTTCAAAGGGGTAACATGAGGGATCTGCACCTTGACTGTATCAATGTCGATATCTGGGTTGTGATATTATACTACAGTTTTGCAAAATATTAGTATTGGAAGAAACTGAATAGTACCTTTTTATTAAACTACTGTAAGTTTTCCAGTATCTTTTTTTTAAAGAATTCCTAAGAAAGGTTAAAAATTAAAAATCTTGTTTCCAAGAAAACCAATTTAAGAGAATAAAATTTTCATTCACTTACAAATTATCCTATAAAAAAATTTACAAAATGTTCAATTGTCACAGGGCAAGAAAAAAAAATTTAAAGTACTTTTAAAAAGCATTAAGACATTTCAAATACCCTCACCTAAGTACCCAATGCAGCTAATATGAAATGCTTATCTTAACCAGGACACTTAGAAGACAACCAAGTGTGATCTTCCTTATCAGTTACCCAAAATTCTAATGATTTAAAGAACTGGAAGAAGACCAGTATGGAAGGTGCTGGTATGTAGCTTTGGACTATAAAATAAAACATGCACACAAAGACCTGGAACAACCTGCAATTCCCATGCTAAGCAAATGGTCTGAAAAGACTTGCTGTTAAGAAATAGAATTTTTACACTCTTTTGGGAAGTAGGCTGTATGGCAGAAGGATAGGCCAAGAGAAGAGTCACACAGCAAATTTAATTCTTCCTTAGAATATGCATGGTGACTGCTGGGCTACTTTCTATATCCTGTAAGTACCTGTTAAGAAACTAGGTAATTTCCCATATACCCAAGAGCTTCTTGGTTTTAAATGTTAACCTTATTTTAAAATAGGCTCGTGAACATGGATAGAGAGAGAGAGAGGAATACGTATGTGATGAAGCAAGTATTAGAAAATGTCAGGCAGCACCTAGCTGGAAGCTGTATAAATGTTCTCTATAAAATTATTTCAACTTTACTGTCTGTTTAGAATTTGTCATAATAAAATATTTTTAAATTGACTCATTAAAAAGAGGCCCTTACAGGGTGGTAAAACAAATGTAATTTATAATATCTAGGTACTAAAAGAAAAATTTAATTCACATAAATTAACATTGAAATTAGTACCAATAACTAAGCACCCCAAGTTGGGGATGATGAAAAAGAGAATAATCTTGAGTGCAACCCTTCATTTTTTTTGTACAGTCTCTCTCTCTTATCTTTATAAACAAACACAACTTAATTTTTATACTTGGAGACATAAAGCTCCAGGATTAAATTAAAACCACCAAACTCATGGTCCCAAACAAGTTCACGAGTATCAAATAATTACCTCCTGGAATAAATCGCCTCATATTCTTCCAGCTCTTCTAAGAAGAAGAGTTTTGTTGCTAGGAAGTGGGTACACAAAACAGAACAAAACCAAGCCCATAGCTTCAAATATATACTGAGATTCTGAAATTACTAACACAAAATTAATATTAAAATATTTAAGTTTTCATATCCCATATATGCAACAAAGAGAAAACACTAGAAATTGATGTGTGAGGAATATGTACAAATTTATTTTCAGAAAACTATACTTCTGAAGAACACAAAACAATGACTCAAAATAGGAAGACACTATTTTTTGCATAGAAAGATGCCACAATCTAAAAGCAATCCATTTTTGAATCCTAAGCTGATAGATTAATGACCAATGGAATAAAACAGAGGTCCAGAAATAGATGTCAATATACAAAGAAATTAGTTTAATAGGTGGTAAAAGTGGTTATCTCAAATCAGTAAAGGGATGTATTTTTCTTTTCTCTTTTTTTTAAAGATTTTTTTATTTTATTGATTTTTACAGAAAGGAAGGAAGAGGGAGAGAGAGACAGAGAAACATGGATTGGCTGCGTCCTGCATGCTCCCCAACTGGGGATTGAGCCCGCAACCTGGGCATGTGCCTTGACCAGGAATCGAACCAGCAACCTTTTGGTGCATGGGATGACGCCCAACTGAACCACACTGGCCAGGGCAAGGGATGTATTTTTCAAAAAATGGTACTAAGAGATTTGGGTAGCCATCTGAAAAATATAAAATAGTATCTATATCTCACACCATCCACCAAAACAAACTTCAAATGGAATCAAGATTGAAATGTAAAAAAACAAGAGCATAAACACACTAGAGGAAAACAGGCAAATTCCTTTATAACCCTGGAGTAGGGATAAGACTTTCTAAACTATGATTTAAAACCCAGAAGCCATTTTAGCCCAGTCTGCGTGGCTCAGAGGTTGAGCATCAACCTAGGATCTAGGAGATCGCAGTTTGACTCCTGGTCAGGGTACATGCCTGGGTTTCGGGCTCGATCTCCAGTCGGGGGTGTGCAGGAGGCAGCCGATTAATGACGACTCATCATTGATGTTTCAACTCTCTCTCGCCCTCTCCCTTCCTCTCTCCGAAATCAGTAAAGATATATTAAAAAAAAAAACATACCAAAAAACCCAGAAGTCATTTTAAAAACTACAACAAGAATATAATATATATTCTTATAAAAATAAACTTCTTAATACTATTTAAAACATAAAACTAATGCATGGCAATAATAATGAGCAGTCAAAAATTAAAACCTAGCAAAATATCTGCAACTGATACTACAGGCTATAAAGGCTCCTAGAAATTTTAATTATTTGATAAGAATTTAATCAAAATTATTTTAAAATGTACCAAAGAGATCAAGATACAAAAAAGAGGAAAAGATATGACCAGGGAGGTTTACAGAAAAATACAAATGCCCCCCTTAAATATATAGAAAGATGCTGAACTACATTAATGCACACTTTAACCTAACTGGCATAAATCCAAAACCCTGAAAATATATGATTTCTTAGGCTATATATATAGAGAGATATGCACTCTCCACATTATTGTAGAAGTTGTAAAATGGTACAATATGGTGATACCAAATAACAGAGATGACTTTACCTTTTCATCCAGCAGTCCCTCATCTAGGAATTTATTCTACTACTATACACACATACTTCTAAATGACGCTGCAGCATGTCTAAACAGCAACAGTTTTCAGAAATCAACAAAGATATATCCACACAACACTAGGAACTGTTAAAAAAATAAGTGTGGAAGCCCTCCATATAAAATGGAAAAATCTCCAAGATACATTGTTAAGCAGAGCACAGAACAGAGTGGGTAAAACTTAAGATACATACTTGTATTTACTTATAATTACAAGAAGAAACTCTGGGAAAATACATAGGATACTAATCAAAGTGGAACAGACATAGAGGACAAATACAGGGAAGAGGAGAAGACAATGGGAGACAGGAGTGAAAATGAGATTTTTTACTGCATCATCTTTTTCATCTCGAATAGGGGCAGATATAGGGAAGAGGACAAGATGGAGAGACTGGTAAAAAAGAGATTTTGTATAAGCTTTTTCATCTCTTTTATTTTTCAACCTATTCAAAAAATAAAACCATTTTTAAGAAATTAATTTTTTAGAGTCTATCACTTAAAATTAAAGCTTCACCAGAGTATAGAAAGAACATGCCTTTTCAAATGTTAAAACACTGGTAAAAATATTAAAAAATCACTGCATGGTACAGTAGTTAAAATAACATTCATGATACAGGTGCAAATTTCTGATAAGTGGAACAAAACAGCCCAGAGATAGCACTTAAGACATAAGAAATTAGCAACTGATGAAAAGGGTAGCACCAATCAGGGAAGAGAATGGATTAGTGTTAGGACAGCTGGTTAACTACTTTGAAAATCTACATCATTACATTGTACCATGTACCAAAATCAATCTTGGATTTAAAAAAGTCCTGAAACACTGGTCTATAAAAACGTAGCAGAAAATACAAGCGAATATTTGATTTCTGGAAGACTTTTTAAGCCTAAAAATAATCAAAGACTGCAAAAGGGGAAAATATTTTGACTTAAAAGAAAAAAAGATTCTGCATGTCAAAAGTCAAACAACTTGCTTAAGTAAAGTATAACAAAGCATCAGAAGTAGAAAACAAACACTTTGTTGAACATCGAGTTCTTTTAGAATGAAGAGATACACAAAATAAAACTTATACTGTATGTATTTTCTTTTTGTTGTTCTTCTACCACTTTTCACCAGTTTTAAGATAGAGAGGAAATGTTTTTCCATATCAGTATTATTTCCTGTCCAGGGGGCTATTGATGTTACTGTACTGAGGCTGCAAAATTGGCAGGTCTAGCAGATACAATTTCAACATAAAATTTCAGTACTTGATAACATTTTATACATTATCTAATCTACTTAAACAATTCTTGTTTCAGCTTTTTTTTGGTTTTTTTGTGTTTGTTTGTTTTTTTTTAATATATCTTTATTGATTTCAGAGAGAGGAAAGGAGAGGGAGAGAGAGACACAGAAACATCAATGAGAGAGTCACTGATCAAGCCTGCAACCAGGGCATGTGCCTTGACCTGGAATTGAACCCCGATCGCCTGGATCCCAGGTCGAGGCTCAACCGCTGAGCCACGCCCGACTGGGCTCAGCTTTTGTTTTTAATAAAATAAAGCTAGACTACCTCACAAGCCTGCCACAAACAATAATGACTCATTTTTGCAACAACCATAGGGAAGAAGGCATTATTCCGCTTGTATTCCTGAAACCATAATTTATGTTAGGGTACTCCGAAGTACTTCATTTTAGGGAGGCAAAAACAGGCAAGTATTTGGTCTATTTAATCTAGTAGTAACTTACTCTTATTTCAATTCATCCAGAGATCTAGTCATACAACCTTAATTCCTTGACTAGATTTAAGGAAACCAGGAAGTCTATCTAAAAGTTGAAAAGGAAAAATACTGACCAATATACAACTCCCTGATTTCATAGACAACCAATGCAGGAAGGGAGTTACTGGAAGTTTGTGGCAATATGTAAGTTGCTCTGCCCTCCTGCACCCAGATCCTTCTCCCCAAAATCAGGAAGCTGTCCAATCAGGCCACATCATGAAGAGGCACTGCAACAAGCAGAGAGTGGCTTGTGGTGCTTATAGTTGAGCAAAGTCACGTGGACAAGGCTGTAGTCCTGCCTGAAGTTCAAAGGATCAATATTTAAGGTATTGAAAATCTTTAAACTTTTTATATGGATAAGTCAGCAGGTGAAGCAGGAGTGAAGGGTATTCTATCTTAAAAGTATGAAGTATCCAAATATATTTCTTAAATACAGAAAAGAGGAGAAAGGTACAATATGCATACATACACACCACCCTTTCAACATTTTCCATTCTGTTTCATTATTTAAATCATTTTACTGGCTAAGCCATTTTAAACTTACAGGTATATTTTACTTTTATATAATTCCATAGGCATCTCTAAAAATTAAGGACACTAACCTTCAAAACCACTTTACCATTTATAATAATTCATCTCACATTAATCAAATTTATCCAACCTAATTCAAATTACCTGTGAATTATTTCTTTGTTCAGTCTGCCTTCCACCTCTAGAAAATGTCTGATTTTTTTCCATCCAAGGTTTCTTCTGAGTTGCCTGGCAAGTTACATTGGACCAATTTACACTACCTGTAACAATTGAGATTGAAAATATGATTTACTTATAAAAGATGCCAAAACCTAAATTGCTCAACTTTATACCGAAATTCAGTCACTATAAAAGTAACAGTGGAAAATTTTTCATAAATTTTAAGTGGTATTCCAATTCTTAGTAATATAAGTATCATCTGCAGATCACCTCCTGCTGGCATTTTCTTAATTTTATCAGCAAGACTATACTTTTAATTTAACTTGAATCTCTTTGGAAGATTACTAATTTTTACAACATCAGCAAGTCTAATGCTTAAAAGCAAAACTTTGACATGGACAAAAAAGAAAGTATAGCAAAAACACTATGCAGAAAAATAAGTACCTGTACATATAGATGATTCCGCATGCTAAAAATAGAAACAAAAATGACAATTATTTTCTGCTTCAAAATCCATACCATATAACTTGCAAAATGTTTCATTATCTAGTCTAGTGTGAAGGATGTTTATTACAATCTTAGAAAAAATATTTCTCCATATTTTTCATATAAAGATATGCAAAATTTAACTGTCTTATTTACTATAGGAATTGTTAATGAAAATAGATACTTAAGCTTTAGCAGAGGACACAACAATAACACTGACACAGACGACTGATAGAGAAATCAAAGCAATGTTACACACATTCACGGTGCTAGAATCAGCATTTCGTAGAGCCCCTGCGGCGGGCTGGTTGTTGCTGTGTTTGGGACTGCAGTAGCCACTATCACTGTCAATGTCAGCTTCACTAGCTCCCTGCTCACTAGAGGACTCGGCAGTAGGGTGGGATGCTCTTCTCCTCCTGCCTTTGGACTTCCAGACTACTGTGGCAGAGCTCTCTGAGAGAGACTTGTTAGCGATATCTGTCGGGAAATCTGCAAGGCAAGAAAAGTATGAGACTCTTTGTGAGGACCAAGTTGATAATAAATCCTTGTTAAATTATCATTAAGGTTGTAAGAAAATAGACACCTAATTTTGTAAATGGTGAAAACTTCTTGAAAAGGTCATCAAAAGGTGAGATGTTCCTGACAAGTTGGTTTATAACACGTTTATTATGAAGAGAATGAAATATTAGTATAATTAAAATATTAAAACCACCTCCCAGTGAGGTCCACTGCATGCCCCTCTACCATTGCACCCTCTTCCTCCCTCGGAGGTTACCCTCTATTCTGAAATCTGTGTTTATTATTCCTCACTTTTTAAAATAGATTTACCACAAATTTTTGTACTCGTAAAACATAAATCGTGTAGTTTTGCAATTTTAACTTTATAAAAGTAAAATCATACTGTCCATGTTTTCCTGTGACTTGCTTCTCACCCCACCATCCCCTCAGCATCAGTTCTGGCTCAGATGCATGGGGCTGTGGTTCATTAAGGTCACTGGGATCCAGAACGCCTATGTGTGACTATACTATAACGTCTAATCCTTTACCATTGATGGGACACTTGGTTTGTTTGGGGGTTTTGCTATTATTAAGAACAACAGTGCTATAAACATTCTTACGTGGACAAATGAATGTGTATGTGTGCATGTGAAAGTTTCTCTAGGGTAAATACTTCTGGGCCTAGGGGATACATGTATTCAACTTTACTTGGTAATATCAAATAATTTTCAAAGTTGGTAAAAACAGTTTATACTCCAACAGCAGGATATAAATGTCCCCCACTGATTCACATATTCGCCGAATACTTGATTCTGTCTTCTAGGCTAGAATTTTTGCTAATTGTTGGGTATAAAAAGATAGCTCATTGTAAGTTTTAATTTGGATTTTCCTGCTTAAAATTGAGGTTGAGTATCTCTAATGAAACTTTGAGCCACTAATGTTTTCCCTTCTGTGAAATATTTTTTAATTTTACTTTTGGATTGCTTGACTTCTGCCTATTTTTTTACTCAGCTGTTTTTTTCTTATTTTTGTATTTCGCAAATTGTAATCAAGGACATTTTCAAAAAACCCTAACAACATCCTACCAACAGAACAAATTAAATTTTCTTTTCCCCACATTTCTACCCATAAATAATTTTTATTCAGCTTCAATATAATTTTGAGTTGTGCTCTGTTCAATATTATGTGTATATTCTTCATAATTATAATGTAAGAAGGTTCCATATTATTCCATTGAGTGGATGTCCTAAGCTTCTCTTGACTTGTCAGCTGTTACTGGACATTGGGAAGTTTTCAGTGTTTTTGTTATGCATCTTTAATCAAACAGTCCTTTTCTTTCTAGGGGGAGATTCTATTTGGATACATTCATAGGAGTGAGACAACTGGGTCAAAGGAAAAATTCCTATTGTTCTGTCAAATTGTTTCAGCCCCTTGGCACTGTGTCCCAGGGGCCCTAAGGGCAAGGTGGGATCAGTTTCTTACTGATTCATATAAATTCTTTATAAGTCCTCAGACTAATTCTTTGTCAGTTATATGAATAGTAAACATCTTTTCCAAGTTTGTATTGATAAACAGAAATTCTAAATTTTACAAAGCGTTCCCTTCCTGAAGTCAGAAAAATATCTACCTATATTTCCTTCTACAAGTGGTTTTCTCATTTAAGTCCTTAATCCATCTGGAATAGATTTGCATGGGGTACAAATTAGGAATCTGTAATGCTATTCCTGTCATTTTTTTCATATATGTGTTTCCACATATATGTGAGTCTGTTTGGGGGCTCTATGCTCTGTTTAATTTTTGTATACTGCATTTTATACATTGCATTTTTGTATAAGCCAATAGGAATTAAGATGGCTTGCTAGGTCTTTTGTGTATGTTTGTGTGGATTTCTTTCTTTAATTTTAAAATTCTTTTGATGGACCTAAGAGAGAGATTGATTCATTGTTCCACTTATTTGTGCATTCATTGGTTGATTCTTATATTGAACCCGCAACCTTGGCATAGCAGGACAATGCTCTAACCAACTGGGCTACTGGCCCGGGCTGGGTTTATTTCTATGCTACCTCTTCTGTATCATTCTTTTCTTTGTCTATACCATGTCAAAACCACAGTGCCTTATAACCTATAGCTTTATAATTTTTTATTACTAGGTCTTGATATCTAGAGAAAAAGTTGTTTTGTTTTTTAAATGAATAAAGACACTTTCTTTATTACACAGGTATCTGGATATTCATATATCCAACAAGATGGCTGCCCTGACTGGGACTAGAACCGGCGACTCTTTGGTGCACAGGCTGACACTCAACCAAGTCATACCAGCCAGGGTGAGAAAAAGTTCTTTTCCAGGGATGTCTTGGCTCTTCTCAGGCTAATACTCCTTCATTTTATAATTATTTTGTCAAGTTCCCCAAAAATTTCTATTAGAATTTTTTTTGGAACTGCACTGAATCTACAGATTAATTTAGGGAAAAGTTACATTTACAATATCAAATCATCTTGTATGAACCTGATATTTAGATTTTTTTAGAAGTCCTATAATAAAGTTATAGTTTCCTGCATAAATGTCTGGTACATGTTATATAAGGTTCATTGCCAGAAACTGTATTTTTACTGCTATTGTAAATGGCATCTTTTCTTAAATTTTGTTTGTTGGTAGCACACCTAAATGCAATTTAGTTTTATATATTATCTTATATCTACCCAACTTACTAAACTGTTATTAAATAATAAAAGCTTGTGTTCGAGGGTAAAAATCGGTTACAAATTCCTTTAAACTACAGTATTTCATTCTACCTCTGACTGATACCAATTAATCCTAAGAAATTAAAAACAAACTAGAGAATAAAAACACAGAGAGAATATACAATCTACAGAATTTGAAAACAAACTAAAGAATAAGAATACTGATAGATGTAATCAACTCAAATTATACTTTCATCTTTTCACTTTCTAATTCTTATACTTCAGAAGCCTGATTTTGTGGTCACAATGATTAAGAAGTACAGATAACTTTTGAAAGCAGTCCCAGGGTTGAAAGCATGTACAAATGCATCATTATGATTAGGAACAACCAAAACACAGAAAACTCTGTGATATATTACATTGTGATTCTTTTCCATAGCCACCCCAAGCACTTGCCAGAGTCTGTTACTCTCACTGCTTTATGCTCCACAAACCACACAATGACTGTACTGTCAGCAAGATTGTTTTTTAACTGATTCCCAGATCCCTTCTTGCTCCTAATGGATCTAAGCAATTATAAAAGGTAACTGAATAGAAATCCAAAAGAAAAGGTACATCCCAAATGAAAGAAAGTATGCGCCATCTAATTCATTTTAAGCCAGACTGCAATTGAGTGGAGGCTGAAGAGGGGTAAAACGTAAATGTACCTTTGAACAGATCTAATTCTTGGCCTTGGATCATAAACAAGGATTTTTTTACTAGTGTCAATGACAATGGGTGAGAGGTGACAGACATCTATCTACTCTATAGCTGGTGGGAGGAATTTCATGATATAAACTTAAAAATAGCTAGAATATAAGACTATTAATTCTTATCTATTACCAGGATAAAGCTTTTTTATTTAATGCTTATACCATCCTCTAAAAGACTTTTGACAAAATTATATCCAACTAGTCCAAAATTTTACTTGTTTGAATTCATAGATCTGGTTCAGATCTATGCTAAAATATGCAATGAAAGCTTGCTAATTCTTTCTATAAAAGTATAGGATGTCAGAATGTTTCATAAAGGGTTTTAATCTAGTTATAAAAACACATACAATTATGATTTCTACCAAAATGACTATTTCTATAATTTTTGAAAAATTCCATCTCTGATTTCTGATTTATAAAGAAGTGAACTGCTTCACTTCTTTATAAAGAAACCTCAAACCCTGCTCAAAACCGTATATAAGTCAGCAAATAACTTGAAAGAACATTAAGGACATGGACAGTTTTACCCTTCCTAGAGAATTTCACAAGGTGGCAGGATAAATGGAAGGATGGAAAAAGGTCTAGAATCACAGAAAGTGGTATAATCCACAATTATATAGCCAATGCATGACAACAGATAAAAACCAGTAATGTACAACGTACGTAAGAACTCTTGCCTTACCAGTTTGCTGTGAAGCATCGACCAGAAGCACTATTTTTGATCGACTATCAGGACCTGCTGCATTCGTCTCTTTCTGAGTTGCTACATTTTTCACCAGTGGCCTTTTGCTTTTTATGTGCTGTTGTTGTAAAAGCTGTTGATGGTTTAAGTAAAAGAAGAAAAAAATGAAGATTCTACTCAATGTACTAAACATAGAATACACATCCACTATACAATATATCTAAATGTATGCTCCAAATTAGTGGCTCCCAACTCACAGGGAAACAGGGCTACTGTATTAGGATTTCATGAAATTATCTGCAGTCAATCATAATGGGCTAAAGTACTGTATACACATTTAAACACTATTTTTCAAAAAACCATTAACACTACTATAAATAAAATATAAATTCATTTTTAATTGTTACTTGCATTTTTTTTTTTTTTAAATCCTCACCCAAGGATACTCCCTCCATTGCTTTTCAGAGAGAGTGAAAGGGAGAGAGAGAGAGAGAGAAACACCGATGTGAGAGACACACATCAATTGTTTGCCTACCATACGCTCCGCGACCAGGACCAGGGATCAAGCCTGCAACAGAGGCATGTGCCCTTGGCCAGAATTGAACCCAGGACCCTTCAGTCCGCAGGCTGACACTCCAACTACTGGGCCAAACTGGCCAGGGCTGTTATTTGCATTTTTAATTTTCTCAATCAATAATTAATAAATTATAGGCACATAATTATGCCATATAAGGATTGTACATTTTTGTTTAAAAGGATAATGAAAAGGGTGGTAACTTATCCAAAGGCCAAATTTTAGTTTCATGATGGAAATGAAGTACAGAAGAAGTTTCTGCTTTGGAGCTTACAAAGAAAATATTAAAAGCTGATCCTTTCCTTCATTTAAAAAAATATGAATATTCATCAGCAATTGCAATTTACATAACAGAACTCTGAATTTAACGTCCTAAATTCAAGTGCTGGGAATGAACTCTGAGAATCATGTTTATTCAATATATGCAAGTTATATACTATTATCTTACTTCCAATACTTATTTTTTTCATTCTCAGAGGTCCCAAAAAAGGTTTCCCTTGACCCAGAGTGAATGAAGAATAAAAGTCTTTCAAAGCAACCTCTCCTGCTTGTTTGTATTTTAGTTTGTAAAAAGTATGCCAGAAGACAGCAAAGACTTTTCACTGAAGAAGCTGGGCTAATGGAATCTAGGAAAACACCAACTCCTTGATGATACAGATACAAGATGCACCTAAGAAGTCACTCTGCCTTCCATTAGCTCAAAAGTGCTGAGAAGAAAGATGTTTTTTTCTTATTTGTTTTGATACCAAGGCTTCAATAGAAAAGTAACCTTTTGAATAAGTGGTATTCCTCTTAACAATTCACAAGATAGAAAACAATGAAGCTGAAGGAATTCAATGACTCACAAATGTTCTTTTCCATAATGTTTCCTGCTGATTTCTGAATACTGAAACATCCTGAAGTGCACTAGCTATTCAACATTGCCAGCATGGTATCCAAGCTAACCCCTTATTTTTATTTATTATTTATTTAAATATATCTTTATTGATTTCAGAGAGAGGAAGGGGGCGAGAGAGAGAGAAACATCAATGATGAGAGTCTGATGAGCTGCCTCCTGCATGCCCCCGACTGGGGATCAAGCCCGCAACCTGGGCATATGCCCTGACCGGGAATTGAACCGCGATCTCCTGGATCACAGGTTCATGCTCAGCCACTGAGCCATGCTGGCCGGGCTAAGCTAACCACTTATTAATACTGGTGTCACCATGCAATTTTTATCACTAAATTAAAATAATTTAGAAATATTTGTGCATTATGTTCAAGCTAAACTCTTTGAAGAACTTGAAGATGATGTTAAGTCATCACCAATTCAGAATGAGGAACAATAAAAACAAACAGAAAAAAAATATTTTATAAATACTATACCCTTAACTATTTTATGATAGTGTTTTATAGTAAATTCAGCATTAAAAGCTAATCAATACAAGTGGCTGATTGCTTATACTATTATTAACAACAGAACTATCAAACATAAAAGCCAATCAAAATTAGTCACTTACTTTTGGTACCCCTTGTCCTCTGTTACAGTTTCTGCTTCGATGACTGGACAAAGGGAAGACTTGTCCAAGCTGATTTGGACGCTCACTGCATTCTGTTACAGTATTTACAGTATTCGCAGCTTGAAAGGTGTTGGAGTAAGGTGTAGGAAAAGGATGATAGAAACCCATAACTTGGGCACATGGTGCTGGCATCAGCTGATAATATGTATACTCTGTAGAAACAGGTGGCTGAGCAGATATAATGGGATAGGCAAGGTATGGTCCAGTAGGGTTTGGATTGGGCTGCTGCCATCGTATGTCATTGTTATATAATGGAAACTGTCTGTAAAGACAAATCAAAAAAGAACAAATCTATTGACAATTACAAAAGTAATGCTAAAATAAAATGTCAATTCATTTTAATAAAAGAAAGCACAGAAAAGTGCCTTCATAATAATTCTGAAAACGAGATAAAATTATGACCTTATAAATTGCTTTGCTATAGAAATTATGTATATGTAATAACAATTTAAATGAGTCTAAAGGAATTCAACCTGATAGTTTTACTGCAATCCAGGATTTTAAAAGTACATACCAATCTTATATGTAACTCTCCCCTCAACATCATGATATTTCTGTCCAAAAGTTAAACACCTAGCTGCTGGATGTGCCAACAGTCCTATGTTCCCACGCAATGCTAATAACTGTGACAGCCTTCTGCAAAGAGCAGCGTAAGGTGATCACTGTGTAAGGTGATCATTACAATGGGTGATTTGATTCCTCCGCATCTCATTCTTTAGTTCAGACCAGGGCCTCCTACTCCTCTCTCCCATACTCCCCTAAACACTTGGCCAAGTCCAGCTCTTTTCCTGGCTTCCCTCCTTGGCAATGGAAGCAGGCTTTAGGTCCAAGGGAAAGAAGAGAAGAAGAGGCAAGCCTGTCCACTGCCATCTTATTCCTACATTAGAGCTTCTTCTAGTGCAGTTCCTGAAAAGCACCAGTAAGAATCTTCTTGTCTCAGCAGTCCTTCTCACAGAAGGTTGCTGCGACCAATGAGGGGTTATGGGGAGCTGGAGCATAGTGCTCTTCCTCACTACTCCTATAACAAAAGCAAAATGGAAAAACATTCACTGCCATAACTCTAAAAAATATATTTTTAAATAATCTGCCAGCTGGCTTACTCATGAATTCTCAAAAGATTATTTCATAAGGTAAATACAATTAAATTTACCATACTATATGCTTGATCATTTTGTCAAATACAAAAAATACTATTGTTAAATTTAGTTTACAGATCACTTTGGACATAGTCCATAAAGAGGAAGATTTTTTAATATAATGCTAACTTTAATTGAGAAAAATCCCTTAGTTTCTACGATTTGTCCAATTCCCTAAACTAGTAAGAGTTTCAGATTATTAACTTGAATATTTAATTTCCGAGAAAACTGTTTAGTGGTCTCATATCTCATACATCCAGAATTTCTCAAAGAATGTGCCTTGGCACACTAGTGTGTTACAATGGGTTACAGATGTATAGAAATATTGATTGCCTTAGCTCTCAGGGGTGGTTGGGCTGAGGCCAGAGAAAAGCTGCCTCATCCATTTACTCAAAAGTGCTAGAGAAGTACAATTTTCTGTGTGTGATATAACTTAAAAGAGTCTAAAATTACTTTTTTTTTTTAAATCCTCACCTGAGGATATATTTTCCACTGCTTTTCGGAAAGTGGAAGGGAGAGAAAGAAAAACACACACACATCAACGTGAGAGAGACACATCGATTGGTTGCCTCCCACACTCACTCCGACCAGGGCCAGGGATGGAGCCTGCAACAGAGGTACCTGTTCTTGGCCGGCCAACGCTCTAACCACAGAGCCAAATGGACTAGGGCTAAAATTACTTTTATACAAAAATAAAATGAGCTACACCAACAAAATGCTAATCATCCAGACAACCTAAGCAGGGTTAGAAAAGCTAGCATGACTATTACAAGTTACGCCCTAGTGGTTACTAGGTCACACATTATCTGAATTGCAAGCAATTTGTTAAACCATCCTGTAGACTATTGCACAAAAGCTAAATTTAGAACTAGAATCAGAGTCTAGAGTTATATGCTAATTAACTATAAAAGCTTCAAAGTTAAGGATTATCCCTTGGAATTTTCTTCTTATGCCAGACTATTTTGGCAATTATGATTGGACGCCTAATCTCAAAAAAGGGTTTCTGTTTATCTCTTTCTGAGTAATTCATTCCTTTTAAGTCAATTTATTTTCAACAAATTTTAATTACTTATTATAAGAGACATATCCAGAGAAATCCATATCCTTTTAGAAAGAATTAGAAAATAATCCATGTTAATAATTTTCAAATTTCAACATCATTTGGCTTTGTTTACTCCTCTTAAAAAATAGAGAAATGGTCCATGTTTACAAGTTACAAAAGGAAAAAATTAAGTAGTGTGCTTTGTCAACTTCTATTCCTTCTGCCCCCTCCCTCCCCGCGCAAACTAAAAAAGAAAATAATAAAAAGATTACCTATTGGACTGGTTTTCCTGCACAAATGGATAACAAGTAATCAAGTAGCTGGGAATTGGAGTTGGTTCTATACCAGAAACATTTCCATTATCGCTTGGGAGTGCCATAGGGATCATAAATGTATCAGAATTCTTCTTCTGGGGAATAAATGGCTCTACCTCAGCTGACAGCTTGACATTCTTCAAAGAGAAAGTGAAACACATTATTAACAAATGAACAAAAAACTTAAATAATATAAATTCACAATTTAACAATGAGTCAATTTTTACAAACAGTAATTAGGTCTCTTTTCAGTTTTCACAAAACATCCAAAGGATCACAATGACAAATTAAAATAGTTAAATATGATTAAGTTATTTAGACAAAGTCATTAAATGAAACAGGGAAAAACTTATCAAAGCCTACTACATTTCCATGAAATCATATCTTAACGTAAGCAAAGCTGTTAAAACAATCAAGAGTACAAGGAAGTCAGTCATACCTCAGAGGCCAAAAATAAAGCTGGTAGTAAGAATTCTAGCTCTTCAGACATAACAATGTTTTTAACTAATTTTGTTACGGGGGAGAAAAAGTCATTAAACAACATTCTGAAGGATAATTATGTTTGCTTGAATAATTTAAAAGTCTATTTCTGTCCATTTCAGGAAATTAGATTAGTATGGTTAAATGAAAAGGAAAGAAAATGTCTAAGATGAATTAAAAATAAATATATGTAAGGGGGAGAAAACTTCTGGTTCACACTTAAAGCAGGATAAAAATAAGCACTTCAGTTTCCCAGAAGACAAGCTGACAAACTAAAGTAATTCAGAATATGTACTTCGTTTTAGTTTGTTTTATATCTTTTCTTATAATAAATCTAGAGACTTAAAAGACATTTTAAAAAACTGAAGTATTTAAGAATGCATATGTGGGGGACAAAACTATAGAGAAAAGTAAATAAGATCCATAAAAATCAGGATAGGAATTACTGCTAGGAAAGAGGGAGCTGTGATTGGGAGGACATACTTGTAGAGTTTCGGGGTAGCTGGCAAAGTTCTGTATCCTAATTTGGGTGATACATACAAGGTATTCACCTTATAATAATTCATTTAGCTGTACATTGGTTTTAGGCAGTTTTCTTTTTGCATCTGTTATATTTATCAACAAATTTTAAAAATTTAATTAAAATAATGAAAAGCCTATAGGCACATTCTACAAAAGCAGAATGTTAAAAACCACATAAATATAAACAAGTAAATAAAATGCAATCCAATGTTGCAATCACTCAAAATCAATCTCAAACCAACAATCCAAACCAGAACTTTTCCCCAACAAACACACTAGGACAGCATTTTTCAGAAGCTCATACCAAGGCAGAGTTCTCAGAATAAATTTCAGGCATGTTTCTCAGAAAGGTAATTAGTAACAAATCCAAGAAAATCTAAAGACAAGACTTTGATATACACAATATATAGCCTAAAATGATTCCATTGGAAATTCAGAAGTGCTTATAAAAAAGGAGGGATGGAATACTACGCAGCTGTAAAGAAGAAGAATCTCGTACCCTTTGGGACAGTATGGATTGACCTGGAGAATATTAAGCTAAGTGAAATAAACCAGGCAGTGAAAGACAAATATCCCATGATTTCGCTTATACGTGGAATCTAAAGAACTTAATAAACTGATGAACAGAATAGATTCAATGACATGGAAGCATAGATGAGACTGATGAATGTCAGAGGGATGGAGGAGGGCGGGTGGGTGGAGGGGGAGAGACTAACCAAAGAATTTATGTGCATATATACACAACCCAAGGACATGGACAATGGTGGGGAGAGGGACTGGGGAGGGGGAAGGAACGGGGTGGAATGGGTCATTGGGGAGAAAAAGGGACATCTGTAATATTTTAAACAATAATAAAACTTAAAAAAAAAAAAAAAGGAGGGAAAAGATGATCTGAACTATATAGCAGTATTAATTCAATATTAATACTAAATACATTCCTCAAATCTGATTTAATTCTGAAGTCTACTTTTATACTATTAACCAAATCTGAAGTAGATATAGTCACTGTATTTACAAATATCTGTGAACTAAACTCAGTTTCTTTTTTTTTTTTTTTTTTTTTTTA